CAGGTTTCATGTTGCATGAAGGAAGAGCACACAGCCATCAACATGAACCTCCATCATCTGGAAAACCGGACGCTGAACTTCATCTACCAGAAAGAGCTCTTCTTCCTCCCACAATGCTAGCAATGTAGCAACAAACCAAGCCAGTCCTCAGACTTCACCAACAGTGAACATCATTCATAATATAAAACGTCTACTTTTGATTCAGTACAAAGTGAGAAATATTATTTTTGCTTTGGAGCCATTTCAGAACTTTGAACACTGAACTCATCAAACCAAAGTTGTTCAGACAGGTTGTGAGCTTGTTATCCCTCTTCCCAGCATGCTTTGTGTTTGGGTACAAATTCTCCAGAGTCGTGTTCTCAGTAACTTGGGTAAAGTTATAATGGAGGGTTGTTGTTACTTTTTATGGTCCTCTCTATGATGAGAATGAAAACATTGTAAACATTTGAGCTAAAATCTTCGTCCACTGATCCAGATGTGATAAAGCAGTACATAAATGTACAGTGATGATGTTAGCAGTACAGGAGAAGTCCAGTCTAGTGTGATGTGTGATGTGGTGGAATCCAACATTCAACCCTGAACATGCTTCACAAATGAAAACTGAACACAAGAGGAAAAAGAGTCTCACAGTCTTGACACTAAAGCTGAACTAAACCGTTGTAGCTTTAACTTCATTTCACAAGTTTTTCTACATTAATTTAATCTTCCAAGTCGATATATATACCTTTAAAATATTTAATACATACAAAATATAGGTAAATAAAGGACTATTTAGAGAAGCTGAAAAGTTCTGCATTTTGTTTATAGAAGAAATATTAAAATCCCATAGTTTGTAAAAAAAAGAAATGTTAAATGATCGTATGGCCTCGGTTCAAATTGTGACCTCCACATAACAATATGAATATCAAAATATGTATTCATTATAAAACTAGAGCTCAGACGCTTTTAAATGCAAAGTTTATTTAAAAACCTGTATGGGTTGTCGGCCTATTACCGCTCATATTAAAACTGATAAAAAGAGTACTGGGTTGGTTATAGTCTAGAGCACAGAGCAGCTTAAATAATGCCGAGTCAAATTGAAAGATTATTTCTATAACCCATCCCTAAATCATCATAGTTACCGTCTATTTTACAAATACAAACAAGGATATTCACAGATGCTATCGACTGTCTTCCTGTCACAAAGAGCTGCATGTGACCCGAAATGTCTCCACATCTAGAAATCCAAAAGCATCTTCATACATCCGCAGATCTGTACGGATAGATACAGTATATATACTGTATATATACAGTTGTGTGAAAAAGTGTTTGCCCCCTTCCTGATTTCTTATTTTTTTGCCCCCTTCCTGATTTCTTATTTTTTTGCATGTTTGTCACACTTAAATGTTTCAGATCATCAAACAAATTAAAATATTAGACAAAGATAACACAAGTAAACACAAAATGCAGTTTTTAAATGAAGGTTTTTATTATTATGGGGAAAAAAAAATCCAAACCTACATGGCCCTGTGTGAAACAGTGATTGCCCCCTAAACCTAATAACTGGTTGGGCCACCCTTAGCAGCAACAACTGCAATCAAGCATTTGCGATAACTGGCAATGAGTCTTTTACAGCGCTGTAGAGGAATTTTGGCCCACTCATCTTTGCAGAATTGTTGTAATTCAGCCACATTGGAGGGTTTTCGAGCATGAACCGCCTTTTTAAGGTCATGCCACAGCATCTCAATCGGATTCAGGTCGGGACTTTGACTAGGCCACTCCAAAGTCTTCATTTTGTTTTTCTTAAGCCATTCAGAGGTGGACTTGCTGGTGTGTTTTGGATCATTGTCCTGCTGCAGAACCCAAGTGCGCTTCAGCTTGAGGTCACGAACAGATGGCCGGACATTCTCCTTCAGGATTTTTTGGTAGACAGCAGAATTCATGGTTCCATTTACCACAGCAAGTCTTCCAGGTCCTGAAGCAGCAAAACAGCCCCAGACCATCACACTACCACCACCATATTTTACTGTTGGTATGATGTTCCTTTTCTGAAATGCCGTGTTATTTTTACGCCAGATGTAATGGGACATACACCTTCCAAAAAGTTCAACTTTTGTCTCGTCAGTCCACAGAGTATTTTCCCAAAAGTCTTGGGGATCATCAAGATGTTTTCTGGCAAAACTGAGACGAGCCTTTATGTTCTTTTTGCTCAGCAGTGGTTTTCGTCTTGGAACTCTGCCATGCAGGCCAATTTTGCCCAGTCTCTTTCTTATGGTGGAGTCATGAACACTGACCTTAATTGAGGACAGTGAGGCCTGCAGTTCTTTGGATGTTGTTCTGGGGTCTTTTGTGACCTCTTGGATGAGTCGTCGCTGCGCTCTTGGGGTAATTTTGGTCGGCCGGCCACTCCTGGGAAGGTTCACCACTATTCCATGTTTTCGCCATTTGTGGATAATGGCTCTCACTGTGGTTCGCTGGAGTCCCAAAGCTTTAGAAATGGCTTTGTAACCTTTTCCAGACTGATAGATCTCAATTACTTTGTTTCCCATTTGTTCCTGAATTTCTTTGGATCGCAGCATGATGCCTAGCTTTTGAGGATCTTTTGGTCTACCTCACTTTGTCAGGCAGGTCCTATTTAAGTGATTTCAGGATTGAGAACAGGTGTGGCAGTAATCAGGCCTGGGTGTGGCTAGAGAAATTGAACTCAGC